AAAATTTGAAAATGTCTTTTTCCCTTTTTTCTTTTGGCAAGATTTTGAGAAAGTTAAGAGCCCCCAGTACCTTTTTTTTTAAAAATATGAAAAAATATTTGAGAACATTTTAAGCTTTTTTAATTTATTTTTGAAAGAATTTGTTTTTAATCTTCGAGAATTTTTCTTTTATTTTTGAAAGGATTTGAAAACATCTCGAGATTCCCTTTCTTTCCTATTTTTGAAAGAGTTTGAAAAAGTTTAGGAGCCCTTAGTGCCCTTCTTTTAGTAATATAAAAGAATATTCGAAGCATCTTGTGTTTAATGTTTGAAAAACTTCGGGATTCCTTTTCTTTCCTATTTTTGAAAGAGTTTGAAAAAATTTAGGGGTCCTTAGTGCATTTTTTAAGAATATAAAAAAATATTCAAAGCTTCTTGTGCTTAATTTTTGAAAAACTTTGAAAGAATCATGGGAACTCAGATTTTTTTAATAAGAAAGAAACTTAAGGGTCCCTTGTGTTATTTTTGAAATAATTTGAAAATATGTCTTTTTCCCATTTTTCTTTTGGCAACATTTTGAAAAAGTTAAGAGCCCCCAGTACCTTTTTTTAAGAATATGAAAAAATATTCGAGAACATTTTAAGCTCTGTTTAGTTTATTTTTGAAAGAATGTTTTTTAATCTTCGAGAATTTTTGGTTTATTTTTGGAAAAATTTGAAAAGATCTTGAGAGCTCCTAGTTTTTTTTATATATGTAAAACAATCTTCATGATCTCTTATATTTAATTTTTGGAAGACCTTGAACAAATCTTGGGGGCCCTTGGTAATTTTTTTAAATGCGAAAGAATTTTTAAGGGACCCTTGTATTTTATTTTTGAAAGGATTTGAAAACATCTCAAGATTCCCTTTTTTTCTTATTTTTAAAAGAGTTTCAAAAAATTTAGGGGCCCTTAGTGCCTTTTTTTAAGAATATAAAAAAAATACGAAGCTTCTTGTGTTTAATTTTTGAAAAACTTTGAAAGATTCGTGGGAACCCTTGGATTTTTTTTAACAATAAAAAACTTAAGGGTCCTTTCTGTGTTATTTTTGAAAAAATTTGAATGTATGTCTTTTTTCCATTTTCATTTTGGCCAGATTTTGAAAAAGTTAAGAGCCCCCAGTACCTTTTTTTCAAGAATATGAAAAAATATTCGAGAACATTTGAAGCTTTTTTAAATTTATTTTTGAAAGATTTTTTTTTAATCTTCAAAAATTTTTTGGTTTATCTTTGGAAAAATTTGAAAGAATCTTGAGAGCTCCTAGTGCCTTTTTTATATATGTAAAACAATCTTCATGGTCTCTTATATTTAAATTTTGGAAGACCTTGAACTCATCTTGGGGGCCCTTGGTAATTTTTTTTAAATGCGAAAAAATTTTTTAGGGTCCCTTGTACTTTATTTTTGAAATAATTTGAAAACATCTCGAGATTCCTTTTCTTTCCTACTTTTGAAAGAGTTTGAAAAAATTTAGGAGCCCTTAGTGCCCTTCTTTTAGTAATATAAAGAAATATTCAAAGCTTCTTGTGTTTAATTTTTGATAAACTGCAAGAATCGTGGAAGCCCTTTGTGATTTTTTTAATATAAGAAAGAAACTTTAGAAACTTTCTGGGTTATTTTTGAAAAAAATTGAAAATATGTCGTGATTTCATTTTTATTTTGGCAAGATGTTGTTATAGTTAAGAGCCTCCAGTACCTCTTCTAAGAATATGAAAAAATATTGGACAACATTTGAAGCTTTTTTTAGTTTATTTTTGAAAGAATTTCTTTTTAATCTTTGAAAATGTTTGGTTTATTTTTGGAAAAGTTTGAAAGGATCTTGAGAGCTCCTAGTGTCTTTTTTATATACGTAAAACAATGTTGTAGATCTCTTATATGTATTTAATTTTTTGAAGACCTTGAACATATCTTGTTGGCCCTTAGTATTTTTTTTTTAAATGCGAAAGAATTTTTAAGGGTCCCTTGTATTTTGTTTTCGAAAGGATTTCAAAACATCGCGAGATTCCCTTTCTTTCCTATTTAATGAAAGAGTTTGAAATAATTTAGGGGCCCTTAGTGCCTTTTTTTAAGAATATAAAAAAATATAAATTTTGAAAGATTCATGGGAACCCTTAGATTTTTTTTAATAAGAAAGAAACTTAAGGTTTCCTCGTGTGTTGTTTTTGAAAAAATTTGAAAATATGTCTTTTTTCCATTTTTATTTTGACAAGATTTTGAAAAAGTTAAGAGCCTCCAGTACCTTTTTTTAAGAATATGAAAAAATATTCGAGAACATTTTAAGCTCTGTTTAGTTTATTTTTGAAAGAATTTTTTTTATCTTCGAGAATTTTTGGTTTATTTTTGGAAAATTTTGAAAAGATCTTGAGAGCTCCTAGTATCTTTTTTATGTATGTAAAACAATCTTCATGGTCTATTATATTTAATTTTTAGAAGATCTTGAACAAATCTTGGGGGCCCTTGTTATTTTTTTTTTAAATGCGAAGGAATTTTTAAGGGTGCCTTGTATTTTATTTTTGAAAGGATTCGAAAACATCTCGAGATTCCCCTTCTTTCTTATTTTTGAAAGAGTTTGAAAAAATTCTGAAGCCCTTAGAGCACTTCTTTTAGTAATATAAAGGAATATTCAAAGCTTCTTGTGTTTAATTTTTGATAAACTGAAAGAATCGTGTGAGCCCTTTGTATTTTTTTTAATATGAGAAAGAAACTTAAGAAGCTTTCTGTGTTATTTTTGAAAAAATTTGAAAATATGTCGTGTTTCCATTTTAATTTTGGCAAGACTTTGAAATAGTTAAGAGCCTCCAGTATCTTTTTTAAGAATATGAAAAAATATTCCAGAGCATTTAAAGCTTTTTTTAGTTTATTTTTGAAAGAGTTTTTTTAATCTTCCAGAATTTTTTGTTTATTTTTAGAAAAATTTGAAAGGATCTTGAGAGGTCCTAATGCCTTTTTTATATATGTACAACAACCTTCATGGTCTCTTATATTTAAATTTTGGAAGACCTTGAACACATCTTGGGGGCCCATGGTAATTTTTTTTAAATGCGAAAGCATTTTTAAGGGTCCATTGTATTTTATTTTTGAAAGGATTTGAAAACATCTCGAAATTCCCTTTCTTTCCTATTTTTGAAAGAGTTTGAAAAAATTTAGGGGCCATTAGTGCCTTTTTTTAAGAATATAAAAAAATATTCGAAGCTTCTTGTGTTTAATTTTTGAAAAACTTTGAAAGATTCGTAGGAATCCTTTGATTTTTTTTAATAATAAAGAAACTTAAATGTCCTTTGTGTGCTATTTTTGAAAAAATTTGAAAATACGTCTTTTTTACATTTTTATTTTGACAAGATTTTGAAAAAGTTAAGAGCCCCCAGTACCTTTTTTTTAAGAATAGGAAAAAATATTCGAGAATATTTTAAGCTCTTTTTAGTTTATTTTTGAAAGAATTTTTTTTAATCTTCGAGAATTTTTGGTTTATTGTTAGAAAATTTTAAAAGAATCTTGCGAGCTCCTAGTGCCCTTTTTACATATGTAAAACAATCTTCATGGTATCTTATACTTAAATTTTGAAGGACCTTGAACACATCTTGGGGGCCCTTGGGATAATTTTTTTTTTATGCGAAAGCGTTTTTAAGGGTCCATTGTATTTTATTTTTGAAAGGATTTGAAAACATCTCGAGATTCCCTTTCTTTCCTATTTTTGAAAGAGTTTGAAAAAACTTAGTGGTCCTTAGTGCCTTTTTTAAAGAATATAAAAAAATATTCGCAGCTTCTTGTGTTTAATTTTTGAAAAACTTTGAAAGATTCGTGAGAACCCTTGGATTTTTTTTAACAATAAAGAAACTTAAGGGTCCTTTCTGTGTTATTTTTGGAAAAATTTGAAAATATGTCTTTTTTCCATATTTATTTTGGCCAGATTTTGAAAAAGTTAAAAGCCCCCAGTACCTTTTTTTTAAGAATATGAAAAAATATTCGAGAACATTTTAAGCTTTTTTAAATTTATTTTTGAAAGAATTTTTTTAATCTTCAAGAATTTTTTGGTTTATCTTTGGAAAAATTTGAAAGAATCTTGAGAGCTCCTAGTGCCTTTTTTATATATGTAAAACAATCTTCATGGTCTCTTATATTTAAATTTTGAAAGACCTTGAACACATCTTGGGGGCCCTTGGTAATTTTTTTTAAAATGCGAAAGGATTTTTAAGGGTCCATTGTATTTTATTTTTGAAGGGATTTGAAAACATCTCGAGATTCCCTTTCTTTCCTATTTTTGAAAGAGTTTGAAAAAATTTAGGGGCCCTTAGTGCCTTTATTTAACAATATAAAAAAATGTTCGAAGCTTCTTGTGTTTAATTTTTGAAAAACTTTGAAAGATTCGTGGGAACCCTTATACTTTTTATATAAGAAAGAAACTTAATAGTCACTTGTGTGTTATTTTTGAAATAAATTGAAAATTTGTCAGATTTTCCATTTTATTTTTGGAAAAGTATGAAAAAATTTACTCACTGCCTTTTTTAAGAATGTAACAGAACATTCAAGAATATTTGAAGCTTCATGTGGTTTATTTTTGAAAAAAATTGAAATCATCTCGGATATCTTTGTGGTTTTATTTTTGAAAAATCTTAAGGGCCCCTACCGTCTTTTTTTTAAATATCCTGCCATCCTCATCCCCTCCCCCCACACCAATCACACATTTCTCGATACAACAACCCCAAATCAATGTTCCAACTCCACCCCCACCCCAACTTTTTCTTAAAAAAACCGCCCTTAATTCCGCCATCTGCCTCGAACTCAAAACTGTTACACAACTCACACAAATAAAATACATCCCGATTTCGCACCTGAGCCGCGAGCCAAACACAATTGAAAAACTGCCTCGGGCGTAAATCGGCCAACGCAACAAAAGCTGCAAATTCCCCGGAAAATTTTATCGTCCAATTTGCAATCCGGTTTTTAATTAAACGAAAAATGCTCCAAAGCTGCATGAATCATTGCAAACTCGCCGAATAAATTAGCGCAAAAGGCGAGCTTTTGCTTTGTGACGAAAGCTGCGTAAGTGGTAGGGGGTGCATTCTACAGGTGGCGGTAGGAGGTTTTGATAGGAGTTTTGGCCAATCGGATGCAACAAGTACGGATCAACGTGTGCCAACATCAAAACTAGCTTTCACAGCATCACACGAAAGTTTTGAAATTTAGGTGCTTTAGTACCTTGCTCTTAGTGACATTCCGGTATTCGACTGTAGTGGTTGCAACGGAGATTTGTAGTGAAAGTTCACGAGGGAGAGAGCAATGTAAGTTTTTTTGTTATTTATTAATTTTAATGCGGGTTCGATCGGGAAAAGAAACTTGAGTGGATTATATTTTTCATTTTTTATTTGTAAAGGGTTCAAATGTGGAGTTATATTGGAGGAAGAAAGCGGCACGAAATGTCAGTATATAATTTTCGTGTTCTGGGATAGGATATTTTTAACACGAATTTTCTACTATTCGTGTTCGGTGTAATTTAATATTTAATAACACAATATTACGTAATTTTTTAAAAATTAAAAAAATTACGTCCTGCGGAATTTATTTTATTGCTAACGTTACGACATACACCTTTGATCTCGTAGCTACTTTTAATTAAATTTTCAGCAATTTTCTTCTGTGTTGCATGGCAGTTCATTATCGTGTTCATCAACACTTTTAATATTTTATTGAGTAACTTTCATCAGACCTTTATTAAAACATTTTTAATAATACAAATATTAAAAAAATTGTAAATCATTTTTTTAACAATTTTTCATGAGTCTAATTGTCCCGTCTTTTATGGACGGAAGAACCACAAATTAAATTCATTCGTACTTGTAAATTTTACAAAATTGCTTAAGGCATTTTTATGTCTGTTTAATAAAAACAAGTCTTAAAATAAACTGAAACGTAACTAATAAATAAAAAAATTAAAGCTCTGTTGTACGGTGGAAATAATCGCTTGAAGGTATGAGGAAATTTTCTACAAGAGTAATTAATTTTATTAAATAAATAAAATTAAATGTTGCTCATTTTGTGCAAGCAACACCTCTGCATTATTGTGTAAGTCCTACAGATGTAGTTTATGAATCCGTGTTGAGTTTTTACCAGAAGCATCCAGTTTTTAGGAAAAAATCCTACAACATTTAACTTTGAAACTGCAACATCGAATGCTTTGAAATATTACAAACGTTTTTTTACCTTTGACCAATTTTTTTCTTCGTTTTTGCAATTTTCCATTTTTCAGAGTTTTAGTTTAATAATTTTTCTATATTACAGTTTTCATTTTTCGATTGTTCAATTTTTCGTTTCCTCAGTTTTACAAGTTCTTGAGTTTAATTTTTCATTTCCCTGATTTTTTTTAATTTGCATTTTTTCGATTTTAAATCGCAATTTTTAGTTTTTTCATTTTCTTTAATTTTTCAATTTCGATTTTATTAATTTTCGTTTATCCAGTTTTTCAAATTTCCAATCTATTCCAATTTTCCCATTTTTCAATGTTTCGATTTTATAATTTTTCGTTTTATCCGTTATTCAATTTCTCGACTTCCAAATTCCTCAATTTTTCAATTTTGTAATTATTGTATATATTATGTGTCAGTTTTTAATTTTTCGAATTTTCAATTTTGCGTTTCCTCAGTTTTCCAAGTCCTTGACTTTTATTTTTCATTTTCCTATTTTTTTAATTTTCATTTTTTCGATTTTAATTACGTTTTTTCGTTTCTTCATTTTTTCAATTTTCCATTTTCCGCAGTTCGGTTTCATAATTTTTCGTTTTTTCAACTTTAATGTTTCAATTTTTCAATTTCTCGACTTCCAAATTCTTCAGTTTTTCGTTCCTTCAATTTTTCGATTTGCAGTTTTTTAATTTGGAATTTTTCTACGTTACAGTTTTTTATTTTTCGATTTTTAATTTTTCAATTTCTCGACTTTCAAATTCTTGAATTTTTCGTTTGTTCTATTATTAGGTTTGCAATTCTTCAATTTTGCAATTATTTTACGTCACAATTTTTCATTTTTGGATTTTTAAATTTTTTGTTTCCTCAGTTTTTTAAGTTCTTGATTTTTATTTTTCATATTCCTTTGTTTTAGTTTCAATTTTCTCGATTTTTTTTCTTTCCTTTTAATTTTACAATTGTTTGATATCACAATTTTTGTTTTTTAATTTACTTTATTTTTTCAATTTTTCCATATTTCAAAGATTTGCAATTTTTCAATTTTTTAATTTTGCATTTATTTTATATCACAATTTTTCATTTGTCAATTTTTAATTTTTCGATTTTTCAATTTTTCGTTTCCTTAGTTTTTCAAGTTCTTGATTTTTATTTTTCATTTTCCTATGTTTTAGTTTCAATTTTTTCGATTTTATATCACAATTTTTCGTTTCTTTGATTGCAATGTTTCTTTCGATTTTATAATTTTTGGTGTATTCAAATTTTCAATCTTGTTCTTTTCCTTCAATTTTGCAATCTTTTGATATAACAGTTTCTGTTTTTTTTATTTTCTTTTTTTTTCAATTTTCCCATTTTTCAGTCTTTCGGTTTCATAATTTTTCATTTTATCAATTTTTTAATTTCTCGACTTCCAAATTCTTCAAATTTTTGTTTCTTCAATTATCAGATTTGCAATGTTTCAATTTTTTAATTTTGCATTTATTTTATATCACAATTTTTCAATTGTCAATTTTTAATTTTTCGATTTTTCAATTTTTCGCTTCCTTAGTTTTTCAAGTTCTTGATTTTTATTTTTCATTTTCCTATGTTTTAGTTTCAATTTTTTCGATTTTATATCACAATTTTTCGTTTCTTTGATTGCAATGTTTCTTTCGATTTTATAATTTTTTGTGTACTCAAATTTTCAATCTTGTTCTTTTCCTTCAATTTTGCAATCTTTTGATATAACAGTTTCTGTTTTTTTTATTTTCTTTTTTTTTTCAATTTTCCCATTTTTCAGTCTTTCGGTTTCATAATTTTTCCTTCTATTAATTTTTCAATCTCCCGACTTCCACATTCTTCAAATTTTCGTTTCTTCAATTATTAGATTTGCAATTTTTCAATTTTTTAATTTTGCATTTATTTTATATCACAATTTTTCATTTGTCAATTTTTAATTTTTCGATTTTTCAATTTTTCGCTTCCTTAGTTTTTCAAGTTCTTGATTTTTATTTTTCATTTTCCTATGTTTTAGTTTCAATTTTCTTGATTTTTTATCACAATTTTTCGTTTTTTGATTTCTTTCGATGTTATAATTTTTCGTTTATTCAGTTTTTCAAATTTTCAATTTTGTTCTTTTCCATGAATTTTATTTTATCTTTTGATATATCACAACTTTTGTTAATTTTATTTTCTTTATTTTTTTAATTTTCCCATTTTTCAAAGATTTGCAATTTTTCAATTTTTTAATTTTGCATTTATTTTATAATACAATTTTTCATTTGGCAATTTTTTGACTTTTCAAATTTTAGTTTCCTCAATTTTTTATTTTATATGTATTAAGTACAGTTGTTCGATTTTTCATTTCCTTTATTTGCTCAATATTTCTTTCGTTTTTATAATTTTTCGTTTATTCAGTTTTTCAAATTTTCAATCTGTTCCTTTTCCTTTTTCCTCAATTGTGCAATTTCGTGCCATCATAATTTTTTGTTTTTTTATTTTCATTATTTTTTCATTTTTCCAATTTTTCTCGACTCCCAAATTCTTCAATTTTTCGTTTCTTCAATTGTTAGATTTGCAATTTTTCACTTTTTCGTTTCCTCGTTGTTGGTTTTAATTGTTCATTTTCCTGATTTTTTTTATTTTCTATTTTTCGATTCTATGTCGCAATTTTTCGTTTTTTCATTTCGGTTATTTTTTTATATATTTTTTTAATTTTCCCATTTTTCATTGTTTTAGTTTCTGTATTTTTGGCTTAATTAATTTCTCAAGTTCTCGACTTCCAAATTCATCAATTTTTTGTTTCTTCAATTATTATTCGATTTGCAATTTTTCAATTTTGCAATTATTTTATGTCACAATTTTTCATTTTCCTATTTTTTAATTTCAATTTTCTCCTTTTATATAAAAGTTTTATCAATTTTTCAATTTCTCGACTTCCAAATTCTTCAAATTTTCGTTTTTTCAATTGTTAGGTTTGCAATTAATCAATTTTTTAATTTTGGGTTCATTTTATATTAAAATTTTTCATTTGCCAATTTTTAATTTTTCAATTTTTCAAATTTTAGTTTCCTCGGTTTTCGATTTTATATTACAATTTTTCGATTTTTCTTTTCCTTTATTTGCTTAATATTTCTTTTGACTTTATAATTTTTCGTTTATTCAGTTTTTCTTTTGATTTTATAATTTTTCGTTTCAATTTTTCAATTCCTCGATTTTCCAATTTTTAAATTTGAATTTTGCAATTTTTAGATTTCTCAATTAACTGATTTTCCGATTTCTTTAATTTTTAATAGTTTGAATTTATATTTCGTTTTTTCAATTTTGCACTTTTTCTTTTTTTAAGTTTCTCAAGCTTTGAATTAATTTTTCAATTTTTCAAATTTTAGATTCCTCGGTTTTTGATTTTATATTACACTTTCTCGATTTTTCATTTCCTTTATTTGCTTAATATTTCTTTCGATTTTATAATTCTTCATTTATTCAGTTTTTCAAATTCTCTATCTGTTCCTTTTTCTTTTTGTTCAATTTCACAATTTTTCGTTTTTACATTTTCATTTTTCCGATTTTTCTTGACTTTCAACTTTTTCCATTTTTCATTTTTTGGTTTCCTCACTTTTGAAACTCTTGATTTTTATTTTCAATTTTCCTGATTTTGTAATTTCCATTTTATCGATTTTGTCTGACAATTTTTTTTTAATATCCTTTATTTTTTCAATATTTCTTTTGATTTTATAATTTTTCGTTTTTTCAGTTGTTCAAATTTTCTATCTGTTCGTTTTCGTTTTTGTTCAATTTCACAATTTTTCGTTTTTACATTTTTATTTCTCCGATTTTTCTAGACTTTCAATTTTTCCATTTTTCATTTTTTGGTTTCCTCAGTTTTGAAGTTCTTGATTTTTATTTTCAATTTTCCTGATTTTTTAATTTTCATTTTATCGATTTTGTCTGACAATATTTCTTTTTTTAATATCCTTTATTTTTTCAATATTTCTTTTGATTTTATAATTTTTCGTTTCAATTTTTCAATTCCTGGATTTTCCAATTTTTAAATTTGAATTTTGCAATTTTTGGATTTCTCAATTAACCGATTTTCCGATTTCCTTAATTTTTAATATTTTGAATTTATA